AAGCTGGTGAATCTTCAACATGATCCGCTTGAAATCAAATTATTTTGGCTCATTTAGACAAATGTCGATATGTACAAAGATGCGGTGGAGAGAGGTATCTCTAAGACGAGTGAGGTTGACGAGACGACAAAAAGTAGTAAGTTATCGAGCTGTGAAAGGAGGAAATAGCAGGAATAGATATTCATTTTTTTACGATCCTAGAAATTAGTTACGGCGTGGTTGAAAGACTTACTGAAGCCACCAGTGTTCAGAATTAGGCCACCTTTACTGGGTACTGGCTGGATCCACAGACTCGGTGCAAGTCGAGGATAAGCTTAGGGTGAAATTTCTGTCTAACGAAATGTACACACTCCTATCGTCTTATAGCAAGTTTTTCTGGTACTGCAACCTGACTAATTGCCCTTGAAAATTTTGATTGTGTCCGGTTCCTATTGTGACGGATTTTATTAAGTTGTTTAGTACATTCAGTGAAATAAAAGTGGAGCTAACCTCTAAGAGGGAATTAAAGTGCACCGGTCCCTCACGAATCTGGCTCTGTCCATTTTCGACTGGATACCGCAGGACGCCCAAGTGGATGAGGCATCCAATGAAAGGGAAACCAGCCCATCTCCCAAAGGGAGAAGTGCAAGGAGAGGGGGTGGAGGTGGAAAAGCCCTCTGATTTTGAAGTAAAGTCACATGTAAGCCAGGCGGTAATCTTGTCGACAATTTTCCTTTAAATGCGTTGCAGAGGAAGCCATAAAACTTTTAATGTTTTGCTATCGGAGAATCGAGTAAGTACCATCGAAACCAATCAGATATGATTGCCGATTCTAGCAAGAGTTCCGGTCACTCTAGGTCGCCTAAAGTGATTTTAGAATTTCTAAACAATCTCATGTTTCAATTGAATTGGGTGGGCTCACTTCCATTTCGAGTGACAGTCTGTGATAAAGAGATTGAAAGGTTGATCCCACTAGAAGACAACGGCGGATTCCACTTACCCAGTTGTCAAGTGGCTTTACTCGACAATTGTGTTGGCGCTGCCCCAGAGCCGATCACTTTCAATTCAGTTGAAAACGTGCATTCTTGCAATCCTATTAAAGCTAATGAGTCAATAAAACTGAAGTTATGATCTCGCCTAGGTCCAATTCACACCCCAGGGGGCTTAAAACCCCGTGGGGCCTATAGTTCAGGGCTGATGCCTGTTTGGCGAAGTTGATATTTCAGTCCGGCCAGAATAATACTACCTTGTTGGAAGCAAAGCTATGCGAAATTCACTATAAAAGCGAGGTATATTTACATATTCTTGTGGGAAAATTCAATTATCAGTCATTCACTAATTTAGGTAGCCTAGTGTGACTAGATCTTTTATTCAAGCTTTACTGATAGTTTCGCAACGTACTTTATATGTTGATTGCAATTCCTAATACAAGTTCGCATAATTGGCAATCATATTACTAATAGGAGAATGTCATCTATTCTAAACTAGAGTGGCCTCAACAGACCTATTCATTTCACTCGGGAGAATTCAACCATCACCCTATTTTCCTGATCGTATCGGAAGCTATTTACTATGCATATTTTCATATGAGAGAGGGGAAATAGCATACCCTTTATTTTGGTTCAACGCTTGTATGATAGGGATTTTGAAATTGGCCTTACCGGAAAATAAAAGAGTTGCGAATGCGGATTTGTGAGAAAATGTCTTCTGCCCATAATTCTACTGTCCCAATCCATACATGCACAGCTTTTGGCTGTCCTATTGTTATGGACATCATCACAGTATGAAGGCTCTCGTTACGCAATTTCACTAAGCTTTAAAATAAGAAACGTAGCTGGCTGAAATCATAACTACTTCTTTATGACTCAACTAAATGTATAGAATGCATGAAATAGCCCAACTAATCATGCGAGTAAGTACGTAGGTTTAGGCTATAAGAAGTATGTCAACCAGCTTTCCTATTTTAGTGCATGTTGAGATTTCCTGAAAAATAGTTTTTCCCTCTAAATATGTATCCCAGTGAGGTAAAAAAAGTAGTTCAACACTGTTGAATCCGGGTAGCAGGACAGTGAGCCGAGGCAATCTTACTTTGGTTTCCGGTGAGGCCAACTTATGAATAATTTCTATTCTTTCTTTTAGACGAAATGAAGGGAACAGTGATGATATCATTTTGAAAGTGACTGTCTTTCTTTAGACAGTAATGTGTATTATAATATTAAGATGAAGGAAAGATTGGTTATTTTTCTAATGCTGGAAGTAGACAATAAAATCGGAATCTACACTGCCAAGCCCCATGTCTAGACGCAAATTTCATCCGGTCTCTAAGTCTCTATGACACTCAATATAATAAATCGTAAGTTAATTTAGCATTGATATAAAATATCGGATTAAGTACTAAAAAGAATATTAGCGAATGCTTCTATCTTTGTTAAAGTCAAGCTCTGAAATTAGACACAACTTGAATTTAACTTGACAAAGACTTGCTGTACTAGATCCCTCAAGTCTAAAGCCAGTTGTAGAACATGCAACTTATAGGAATAATTTATTCCATAGTCTCATTTTACTCATCGGTGGGGATCCGGCTCAAGAGTTGTTGGTTTACAAAGTTTTGAGTGATATAAACCTTGCTTATCGCCCCTTAAAAATGGTCGATAGATATAGTAAAAGTTTAGCTGAAAATGACCCCAACAGAAAACACTTTAAGGGATGACTAGATTGGAGCTATAAAGCAAACCGTACAGATCTGCCTAAAAACTCGCACCGCTAAAACACACAAGATGACCTTCTGACAAGGCATAAGCGGCTGACTACTCAACGCTACCCACTTGACATACAGTCATCAGTGTCCATTGGTTTATATAAATAGCATAACTTAAACACAGATTCCTCCTGTCTCTTGCAACAAAATGTTTTCTGATCCAGTGGGATTACCTTGGAGTTCAGGGGCAGCGATAACAAGTCATCCTAGTTAATAAACTCGTTTTATCAGCAAGCGAGGACCTGAATTTTGTACAAATGTACCAGTTTCTATTGATTTTTATATCGGAATAATTGTGGCTTTGTTATCACGATGAATGAAATAGAACAACTTATCACTCTTGATCAATTTAAGGATGCTTAGGCCTCAGGATGCATCAGAATCTCCTATACTCTTGATTCGCCAGAGTTGTTTCATCCAGGCTGGATTGGACTCCAGTTTCGATAACTAGGTCTCGTCAGCGCCCTCAACAGGATCTGAAACACAGTCGTCGGCACCATGGGGGCAGGTTACCAATCGTTGCATTTAAAACTATACTTTTCTTATTGTTATTCTGAAAATATGGATAGTTGTGAAATAGACTTCGAGTATGAGCAATATAGTCCATTTTAATGGCAAATACTCGTTTAAATAATCAACTATCTCACTAAGTATGTGATTTAGTTTGCCCTGAATGCCCTAGCAGTGTTGTCACCAACTGGCATTTTTTACTGTGTAGAGGAATATTACGTCGTATTTGTGCTTAGCACGACCCGGTTTTGACTCCTGTTGGTGGCGTTGATGAGATCCATGGGAGCTTTGAATTTCAGTTTACTCATGACAAGGTAGCCTTTTGTGATACAACGCTAAGAGGCCTTAAGTGGCATATTGAGACCCTTCAACTGATATTATTGTGAGAAAAAATCTTGATAGACATATTTTAGCTAAGTTCCTATTCAAGAATTACTGAAAGTCTACAAGTGTTCTTGTACAAATAAAAAAGTAGTCTTTATTTTTGCATTGTTTTCGCTTATCCAGACGAAAAAAAAGAGTGTTCTTATTCGGGATGGGTCTCAGTTTTATTTCGTTTTATCGTCTCATCAGAAGCACCAGCATTACACAAAGCATTGAGATATATATAAGTCTCAGGATTCAAACACGTCACCCTTAAAGTAACTTAAACACAGTCCTATTGTATTTACAATAAGCATGATTTTGCCCAAATTATGAAGAATTTTTCCTTTATATTTGATCTTTTGTTTACCATTTAACTCATGCTACAGCTTATGTAATAAACAAGAAATTTTGTCGAAAGCACTAGGATGAGTTTAAAAAGCTAGTAGTGTCTGAACTGTAAACTCCATTTCGAATATTAGGCTAAGTAAAATTCACTGAAAAAGTTGGGCAGAGTAGCTAGTAACCCTATAAAAAACGTCCTTCGAAATTGGTGTATCTTTAAAAAATGCCAAATCCTCTCCCAGTTTCTATGGTAGGTCAAGTTTTATTCCTTATAAGGCGAAATTAACGATAGCGTATCCCGTTTGCCATACAGGATTGGCCAAAATTGAAAAAAAGTTATGACATACAAACACCATTCATATTACAATGCAAATGCTCAGAATATTTAGGAAGAATGAAGTCAATTTTAAAACTCTAAGCTAGTGGTGGGTGTTTGCGTGAATATACTTATTTGTACTTGCGTGAGTTTATGACTTCCTCCATAAAAACACATTCATATATGAGCGAGCTTCTTAGGCAGTAGTATGTTCATAGTCGTAAGTTGATGTGTGTATGAATATTCACAAACTTGTTTGCCTATTTTCACTTGTGTATGCTAGTGCCTACATACGTTAGTATTTATGCGTGTGTGTGTCATTGATCACTTGATGTGCGCATAGGCCATGATCATGCCCAAGACTCACAAACTTTCAGATGGTTCCGTGCCGGCTTCCACTAAAGGCACTAGAGGAGCATGTTATTATTTCAACAATAGATGGAATACCAGGCCTGTAAAATCGTTCGCCTAACCAAAATTGCAGAGTACATCATATGTTTACATATTGTGCATAAAAATTTTGCAGATCTCCACTCCGTCTTCTCGACCTTACCACTTCGCTCCTCTATCAATCGCCTTCAAATATCCCACTTTTCCCAGAACACATGTCACGCGGTGAACCCTCGCAGCCCCTTGGTGGGGCTTCTCAGACTTCGCCATGCAATAAGGCTATCGGCTTTATTAACTAAAACCCACCTCTTTAATGCATTCATTCTTACGTACGTTTGTTAATCAGCACGCAGACTTGGAGGGTATGTTTCTCTTCTGTGCATGGGGATATACGTCTGATTTCATCATCATTCTATGCCTTGGATCTCCGCAGATATTTATTTTTGCCGATAGCAACCTGTCCTGTCTTGTAGGATTTTTGCATAAAAGACCTCTGCACTTGTCAATTATCAAAAGATGAACTAACTTAAAATTTGGATTTGTGGATTCGACCATTTTTCCAAATATTCTGTACCCTAGCACAGCAACTTTCACCTGTACCGTCTAACGACTCAAAAAGTTGAATTGGAAAAGAACATAGACGAATATTTGAGATAAGCTCTATGTCCTCGTCTGACAAATTCTAATTGTTCTCCTTTAAAGAATTAAGAGTAGATTAATATACTTACATCTAGAAGGGATAGGACTAAAGTTGTCATCATACTATACTAACTCTCCTATTCCAGAAAACAATAAGCCGCATATGCTCAAGTTTCTCCTTGAAGATTCAGCAAAATTAGAGCTTTCTTTATATTTCTTATTTTACTTGTGCTTAAAGACAAATTCACTTTGGCTTGGAGAGTAAAAATAAAAATGAACAATCATGGCTGAAGACTTGGCTCGGTTCATACGACAGCTGGGCTGTGCAGGCTGTGTGCATTACTTGAACGTATAACGTTCAAAAAAAAGATGACAAATACTCCCAGGGGGATCTAGACCCAG